TGAAAATAAAGAACCAAAGACAGTGAAACAAAAGGGATAGGCAAAAAATAAGGACAGTATATAAAAAGCTTGCTGTATACAGTACCAGAGTAATCAAGAATATTAACTATTTTAAAACAGTTGTTATTAACAATTAAATCATGACCGTATTATTTATTCTAATAGCTCAGAACCCTCTCTTTTAATTGAAATAGACAATAATGAGAAACAAAACATGTGGGAGGGGATGGTCCCACTTGTCTTGAAGGAGATGGCTGTTTGCCCCCTCTTTCAGAGAACACTGCTAGACCCAGTGGATCTGGACAATTTTCAGGTTGCCAATGATACCCAGTTTATATCTGCATGCTGGACTAACCAAACAATTCTGCCAAGGTCCATTCACCATGCCTGGAGGCTGTGAAGGCCTTGATGGGGAGGAGCAGGCTTCAGAAAATCCAGGCAAGACTAAGTACTTGTGGGTTTTAAGCCCCACTCCCACTTTAGGAGATTCCACCTTTAAGCGCACTTGGGGATGCACTTCCCCAATCAGAATTAGTGTACACTTTGGCAGACTTCCTGGACCCATGGTTCCTACTCTTCCTGGATGCATGACCTGCGGGGTTTTTTTTCTACAGGTTCAACTTCTGCACCAATTGTACATTTTTCTGCACCAGCAGGCCTTGTTCATGGTGACTCATGTCTTAAGTCACCTCCCAATTCTACATGAAAACATTTGTTTTATACTTAATATTTAAGTGGTATTTCAAGAAGAAATCATACGTTTAAAATGAGGAAGGTCCATAAGCATAACTATTTAGATAAGCACCATGCTTAATTTCCTAAGAAGACTTGTCATAGACTATTTTTCTAATAGGAACAAGAGTACCCTATTATTCAAATGACCAATTAATTCACTGTAAAATAATACTTCATTTTATGTGTGTGTTGTGTGTATGTGTGTGTTGTTTTAATTATACACATCTAAATTAGCATCTATTATTTTCAAATGCAAAACTGTTCCTGAATTGAAAATCCACGCTAATTAATAGCATGCAAGAAAAAATAGCATGAAAGTCTGAATAGGAGTTGCTTACAAACTGTTCTGTAAGCATTCACTCACATAGGAATTGCCATTATTATAGTCCAAGGAACTGAGATCAATACACAGCTGTGTGGCCTAAGGTACCAGAGCATAGGAGGAGCAGGAGAAGACTCAAATTCTGTCCTTGTTCAAACATATTATGGATAAGACTGTTAAATCTATTCTAGTTCATTTAAATGCAGAGATAACACACCGAAAACAAAATACATATTGTCAAGACAATGTTTTTTGTTGTTGCAACATTTGGCTCTGAAAGACTGAAGAAGAAGAAAAACTGATGTCTTTGAATTGAAGTGCTAACAAAAACTGTTGAGGGAACCTTAGAACCCAAGAACAAATCCCTCAATGCTAGAAGAAGAAAAACCAGGCAACTCATTGGAAGCCCTGATGATGACGTTATAGCTCAGGGGTAGGCAACCTTGGCTCTTTTATGACTCGTGGACTTCAACTCCCAGAATTCCTGAGCCAGCATGGCTGGCTCAGGAATTCTGGGAGTTGAAGTCCACGAGTCATAAAAGAGCCAAGGTTGCCTACCCCTGCTATAGCTGAAATAGTTTGGACACATAACATTTGAGAAGGCAAGAGTCACTGAAGACTACCCTGATCTTGGAAAAATGGAAGGAAATTGAAAAAGGCCGATAGAAGATGAGATGGCTAGAGTTTACTACTTATGGCACAAACACGAGCTTTTAAGAACTCAAGAGAAGCAGTGGTTGACAAACAATCCTGTCAAAATTTATTTATTTAATTAAAACATTTATATAGCTGCCCATCTTAGAACCAACTCTGGGCATATCCTAATCAAAAGTTAAAGCCGCATTAAAAACCATTGTACTATAAAAACATAAAAACCATTCAACTATAAAAAATAAATACAATAAAAAGAAAAACCTGGCACTAAATCAACCTTTTGATGTGCAGTCACCTAATCTTATCCAGCCCTTGAGGGAGCAGGGAGAAAGCTTTAAGGAAGGCTAGGAGTATAGAGGCCTGCTGAACTTCAGGGGATGAGTGTTCGATAGGGTATAGGGCTGCCACAGAAAAGGCATGCTTCCTAGCTCCCATCAATGGCAATATTTAATAATAATAATAATAATAANACTGTCAGGAAGTTTCTCCTTAGTTCTAGGTTGCTTCTCTCCTTGATTAGTTTCCATCCGTTGCTTCTTGTCCTGCCTTCAGGAGCCTTGGAAAATAGCTTGACTCCCTCTTCTTTGTGGCAGCCCCTGAGATATTGGAATACTGCTATCATGTCCCCCCTCGTCCTTCTCTTCATTAAACTAGACATACCCAATTCCATCAGCCTTTCCTTATATTTCCTTATTTGATGGGAGCTAAGGGAAGGAACCAGGAGTGTACCAACCCTATCTGATCTGGTAGGGCAGAAGTCTTTAGGGAAAGGATATCCCACAGATAACCTGGCCCCTGTGCAGCAGATGAAGAAGACCTGGTATTGACTGAATGAATAGGAAAACTTACACAAATTAGTTAGGTAGAGATTTGTTTCTTATTCCCTAAGGATAATAGGAAATATAACAGTAAACTTGCTGATTATTGAGGGCAGGAATATCCGGTTATAATCCTGTTGTTGTTGTTTTTTACATTTAAATCATTTCAATCTTTTATTACTCCAGGCAAAGAGAGAGCGTCTGCATTAAAGCCCCTTTTCTTTAATAATGGAAACTTCAGTATTTCCTGAGCCTGAGATGTGGCAATGATCTTTATAAGTCTGCCACAGAACGTCTGTGCTCAGAGGGACTGGAAGAGGGAGTGGAGGAGATGCAAACAGAAGCTTAACAAAGGATCACTTGAAGAGAAACTCCTGAGTAATGGCTTTGCCCCAAGCCAAGAACAACATCATCTCCATGTCAGCAATTAAAAGAGCCAGGCATCATGGCCCCCTTCACACAAGTTAACTTACAAGGTTAGCCAAGCAGAGTCCCCTTGCACAGACATTAAAAACATGCCTAGTATTTCTTCTTCACTAAAAGTTGGAAAGAGCTGAAAATGAAGGGAGAAGCTATATGAGCAGACCTCCTAGCCATTGTCAATCTATTGGAGGTTTCTTTTTTTCCCCTTAGCAGTTTTCTGTCCAAAATGTTTTAGGAAACCACAACAGGAGTTAATTTTTGGCTTTCTTCTGTTCCTAATGCTCACAGTTTGGGGTAAAAGATTTTTGAAAACATAAAGCTAAGAAAGTATGCTAGAAAAACCATACATTTGCACAATAGATTCAAGTATGATATCATAAAGAACAAAGCAATTATTGTGCCATATTTGCTACATGGAAATAAATTGTGCGGTGTTAGGCTTTAGGTAAAGTTACTATTTATTACAGCAGGGCTAACTAATATGAAGGGTAATGTTCATTATTCTAGGTACAATGAAAAAAACATGCTAGTAAAATACTTAGTATATTTAGTAATATATTTTCCAAGCTTTTAAGTTATTAAAACTAAACTAATAAATGAAAGCAATTAGACAGACTGCAAATATTTTGGGGAGAAAACCTATTTTTATAATAGTGATTAAGGTGTTGGATTAGGAATCAAGAGATCCAGGATCCAGTCTGCCTTTAACAAAGAAGCCCACTAGATGACTTTGGACTAGTCATGCTCTATCAGCCCAGCCTACCACACAGGGTTGCTTGTATAGGGAAAAATAGGAAGAGTGAATACTCTCTTAAGCTTCTGAATGAAATGCAGGATATAAATTCTAATAAATATAAACCAAAGAAAAAAGAAATTTGGCACTATAGGATACAAAATCCAATGCATTGATCAGTACAAAAATCTACAGAAACCCTAGTTTTGTTATTTTAACTTTCAAAACTGATCTGATTAGAAATAGAACATTAACCGGTAATTTAAATTTCTGTACAGAACTATTTGTCCCTACTGCCTTCTGTTACTTCTTGACTTCTTGCGCAACCTAGATACTGTTAAGCTTGCTTTCTCTCTTTCCCCACTCTTTGTTTATGTGCTGATATAAGAATACAAGAAGCTTTCAATTTGTAAGAATTTGTGGTTGCAAAATTACTATGCAAATCAAAATACAGGTAATCCTTGCTTAACGACCACTCATTCAGTGACCATTTGAAGCTACAATGATGTTGTAAAAGGAGACTTACAATTGGTCCACAAAGTTCCAGCCATCACAGCACCCTTGCTGTTATGACATTGCCATCTGGATACTTGGCACTTGATGGTTGCTGAATCACAGTCAGATGACCATTATTTGGTCACCTGATGGTGCAGGTCCAATGCTAGGGGTCCAATCCTCACTAGCTCAAGGTTGACTCAGCTTTCCATCCTTCCAAGGTCAGTAAAATGAGGACCCAGATCATTAGGGGCAATATGCTGACATTGTAAACTGCTCAGAGAGCACTATAAAGCGCTATGGAGTGATATATAAATCTTAGTGCTATTACTACTGCCATTTGTGACCTTCCCTACCAGCTTTCTATAAGCAAAATTAATGGGGACACCAGCAGGCAAGGTCACAAGTCGCTCCAGTAAGTCGCTTGCACCCCTCTCCCACCCTGGCCCCACCATATTCATGTCACGCCTTGCAACCCATTACACACTCTTCCCTATTAAACAACAGTACTCCTAGCTCTGCTATGCTTGCACTGCCCGCCATACTTTTTCTGCCTTCTGGCAAGTTACAAACCACATGGGATTAGCTTAACAACCCCCGATCCTCACTTTACCACTGCATTGCTTAGTGCTGGAAGTTCCAGTCCCAAGTACCATGGTTACTACTTATATATCTAAGCAAACTTCCATGATTTGTAAAAAAAAAAAAAAAAAAAAATACCCCAGATTTTAATTTTTACCATATTTGGCTCAACTCCGTATGGGTTTTTTTTCCCCTATATATTTTCCCAATAATATGTAGCCTCATGCATCTTAGTCACCTGATGCCGTGCTCGGCTGTGGTCCAAAAGTTGCCGTGACTGAAGCTTCTGTTGTTGGAGCTGCTGCAAGGCAAAATGGAGCTGATAGCTGCCGAGGCTTGGCGGGGTCTTGGGATGCACTGGTTGGCTTCCTATCAACTTACTATGTATGCTGTTCTCTGTATCCCCTTCCCAGGCAAAACTGTCAGATTGTAGCGTCCTGCAATGAAAACAGTTTCACTTAAATGTTTACAGTGACAGTGTAATGTCTGAATACAAAGAAACAGTATGCCCAATTCTCTTTTTTTCTTGCTGTGGACTTTCAATGTTTTTACAACGGTCTGGATGTTGTTTTTTCTTATGTCGGAAGTGGTATACGACGATTAGTTTCTTTTTTATACAATATACCCCATATGGTACTTTGGAGAATCCATTCCTCTAAAAACACGAATCGTACGTAAGGACAAGAAATCCCTGTATCCTTTATTGAGTAATGAAACCTTTATGTTGGAGACTTTGAATCAGGAGGCAGAGTCTACTGCAGCTTTGTTTGTAGTTTAGCTTTGTTTATTAGGGATCATTACCAAGGAAGTTTAATTTCTGAATTGTATAATTTCTTGTTAGCAACTGAATATCTAGTAGGATTTGACAGTGTATCAAATTTTGATATACACCCAAAACCTGCCCCTCAATACCTGGAAAAAGTTCAGAAACCTATGAATAAGTGTCAGTGGAGATTCTCAATCATCCAGGTCGTGATTGTCCCAAAGGTGCTTTTCCAAAAGGCAACTGGAATTTCTTGGTTTTTCCTTTGAAAATGTTTCACTTTTCATCCACGATTACTTATTAGGAATAAGTAATAACATTAGCTACCACAATTTATATGATGGAAGAACATATGCTAAAAATGTATTGTATTCCAGGAGGTTTCAAGAACAAGATGAGATTATCCAACAAATGTCTGTTGGATAATCTCAAAATAGATTTGCAGGTACAGAAACTGTTCTGATTCCTGGATTGTAAATTTACTCAGCCATGCTTTAATATTCCATATTCCTGCCAGATGGTCTACCCTGATTCCTGTTTGTCTTCTGTGGCTTAGAATATACAGGCCTATTATTGTAGAAATCATTATATTATCCCTGACCTTGTAATATAGTTTTGCTGAAGAAGTATTTCTGCAGACAAATACACATTGATTCTTCTAGAATGTCTGAAATAGGCATTTTTATAATTCAAACCAATTGATGCTTCCTTTGTTTGTTTTAGCTATTCCATGTGCCCAAAGTAATCATCTTGAACATGCCTGTCCAATAGTTTGGATCATCTCAAGGATAACCTAGAGTGACCTTCTTGGCAACTGTTTCTCTTCCAACCATTATATTAACTGCTCTTGATTAATTTGGGGATATGTTATTCAACTTGCAAGGCTACCATGCAATTGTCTTAAATAGTAGAAGGACATACTGTACCTGTATTAAATCAGTATCAAGATATGATGTCCAACATGCTAAAACATTAATCTAATCAGCTTCCCCCAAAGAATCTGTTCCACAGTTGTGAAAAGACATGGAATATGACAGTGCTTAATGTAAAATACCCTAAAGAGCCATTTTTTGTTTGGAAATTACTGGAGGTTTTCCCCCCAAAACTGCATATGAAAAATCCGTAAATATTCTCCTAAATCAAATGGGGTTGTACACCATCTTGGCTCTTGATCATGGCTCTAGAACAAATCAAGAGGTTGTCCAGGCATAGAAAAAAAAAGAGTTTATCCTCAAGCAATGAATGTGATCAGAATTTTGATGAACATCCCAAAGCTCAACATGAGCCCAAAAGAAAAATCTATGTGAATCAGCTAAACTCTGTGGAAAGAAGAGGTAAATGAATGAGGCAAAGGATGCTAGTTGGTCTTGTGATTTTAATAGCTGATATTTTGGACTGGAAGTGCTTCTTCCTGAAAATCTTTTTATAAACCTATTTAAAAATATCCAGTTTTGCACAAATCTAAAGCACCCATGTTTCCTGCACAAAATAGAACTTATAACCCGAAGTTCCCCAAAGCGTAAAAGTTGAACAAGTTGGAATAAGTTGTTATATCAAGTTATATATCCGTGTTTTTTTAAGTAACAGTATTCTGCCAGGCATGACACTGGCATTAGTTTGGAACTTATTTTTATTTATTGTTGCAAAATAAATTACAATACATTCCCCCCCTCTCTCACACACACACACACCACAAACGCACACCATGCAAAAGCATTGAAATTCAAAAGCATTTTTAATATTTAGATATGGATCATATGAATATATTAGGATGCATAGTATATGCTAACAAGTAAAAAAGAGAACAGGAAAGAACAAAGAAGTGCGTATGTAGGTATCCAGGTTATGAGGCTTCAGAAACCTAAACTTGAGTTTGTCTCATTCATTATACTAGCATTAACATTTTTTCAGAAAAAAAGTTCTTCAAATAAGCAAAAATCTTTTCTAAAGACAAAACCAGTACAACCTTGCTCTCTGGAGAGGGAGTCCAGCTGTGAAATACAATGCTATACATCAGTGGAAGTTTCACTGTATTGCTTTGAAGTTTGACTTCATGAGCCTTGCAGTGGTATTACATTCTTCTAGAGCAAGCACATTTGTTCAGTGCAAAACAGGTGGTAGATTGACAGATCTCGCATATGAAGCTGATCATAAGACTTAATAGTTCCTGGAATGCAATCCAATTTTAAAAAATGTGATTCCTTCTCTTGCCTGTGTACTGTGTACTGTTGTCCTTTTTTTTTTTTGCTGTTATACTTTTTATTTTTGCTTTTTAAAAATATTTTCACAGTAGATATTTGTTTTCTAAAAGCCAATGGATAAAATTAGCATTAAGACTTCTAATACTAACATTAATATCAACATGGTTCTCCCATTGGCCCTTGTCTTAATGTTCTGTCCATCCCCAAGTCTATCAAAACACAGATCGCACAGGAAAATTTTGTTCACCGTAATGTCCTCCCCTCCCTTCTCTTGAAAGAAGGTTGTACAGCATACAAAAGAGCTGTGGCTATAGGTAGTCCTCAATCTATAACTGTTCGTTTAGTGACCGTTCAAAGTTACAACAGCCCTGGAAAAAGTGACTTATGACCATTTTTCATATTTAAGCCTCTGTAGCATCCCCATGACTCAGATGCTTGGCAACTGGTTCCTACTTATGACCGTTGCTGTTTCACAAGGTCAAACTTTTGACAAGCAAAATCAATGGGAGAGCCAGGTTCACTTAACAACCGTGCTACTAACTTATCAATTGCAGTGATTCACTTAACAACTGTCGTAAAATGGTGCAAAACTCACTTAACAAATGTCTCATTTAACAACATAAATTTTGAGCTCAATTGTGATCCTAAGCTGAGGACTACTGTACTTGCAGTGACATGGAAATTGAAACTGTGAGTCTTATGTTGCTGTATTCCCTTTTTTTATAGAGAACTATGTGATAGGTAAACTTCCCCTATATATATATATATATATATAACAGTATACAGGCAGGCTGGAAGCTGATTACTGCACTCTTATTGCTAGTTGACCAGTGGTAGGAATTTCAGGCAATATAGCCCATTTTTGTGTCAGAGCTATGATTAAACGTACACAACCCTCTCAAGTGAGGTGATGCTGAGCCTTAACTGGGGTTCCATAACTCAGTATATTTTCTCTTTCTTTTTTTCTCTCTTTCCTCCCCCCCTTTTTTCTTCTTTCCATTCAAATATACACATATCATTCCATGTTTTACTTTGCTATTGTTAATAATAATTTCCATTTGTCAATTACAAAAGACCACACTGCTTGGATTCATATAAATACTACATATATTCCAAAATTCTAGGTTCTTGGGAAGAACATGGGAAGTGCAGATGAAGGCCAGCACCAGCTAAAGAATTAGCAGCTGTTGATTTCACATAATTGTGTATATAATAATTTATTAAATTTATATGTCACTCAACTCCCGGAGACTGGAAGATTAACAATTGTGCAAACACAGAGAATACCTAAAACATAAAAATAGCACAAGACAAAGGGATAAGGATCCTGGGGAGGCTGAATGCAACCACATGTTTACTGGATCCGTGCCCCTCCTGGCTGGTACTGGCGGCTCGGGAGGGTACACGAGCCTGGCTCCAGGGAATTGTAAACGCTTCTTTGTGGGAGGGTGCCTTCCCCGCGGCCTTAAAGGAGGCGGTGGTGAGGCCCCTCCTTAAGAAGCCCTCCCTGGACCCAGATG